AAAAAAAAAAAAAAAAAAAAAAAAAACAGTAGCAGTGAGAAGCCAATCCATGTCGCGATACAAGTCTGATCCGAGCAGACAAATAATTTCTCCAAATTTCCAAAATCGATAATAAGTCGTTGCCGAACATGTGTGCACTTCCCAAGAGCTGTGTAGCTTCAGAGAAGAGAAAGAGGTAGTGGGGAGAAGAGAGAGACAGAGAGGAGGGGAAGAAGAAGAGTCTCTGTCAAACATGCATGAAGCCTCTGCTGCCCACTTCTTCCTCGGACAATAAACCCCCTGTCGCCACCTCACCTCAGCAAAGCAGTCTCTCTCTCTCTCTCTCTGACCTTCGCTGACAATACAGTGTGCAGGTCACAGCCGGGCGCCCATCCTCCATCCTCCATCCACATCAGCAATCAAGCAGGGAGGATGGCGCAGATCTTCCTCACCTTCTTGGAGACAAACGGCCGATCACATATTACATCGCCAGCCAGGTATGCGCAACTAAGCAACCCCTAAACGTTCCCCAGTCTCACACCCCTGATCCTCCTCCTCCTCCTCTCCCAATCTGCACACAATGTCCGAAACAACTACGGTGGCAATGGCTGCCCAAGCAGAATCAGAATCAGAATCTCCCCTCTGAGGCTGGCGCCCACAGAGCAAAAAAACTGGCGCCAGCATAGGCTCCCCACAGCCTTGCAGTATCCAAGTGGAGTCAAGCCAGTGCGCGACAGAATGATCTCCACACAGGGCCTGGGTCAACTTTATAGTGTTGACTCACGTTGACCCCAGCCTCTGGTCTCCCTGGTTCGACGGCCCAGATGAATCGGAAGCCAATGGCCTAGATGCAGCGAAGTTGCAGATTTCCCACGTGTCCCAATTGGACTGGATTCTTCTGGATACCTGCACACAACCAATGATGTGCATCTATCTGATCGACAGCCGTGGCTGACCAGCGGGTTGACTTTGACTTTGGGCCTGGAATCCCGCCCTGAGGTTGACTCTTGATTTTCCAAGAGTCAACTGCCTCACGTTGGTTGGGGTGCTGGACAGCCTTTGACACAGACCCTGGTACCCCTCGACCTTAGGCACTTTCTCAGACATTTCACAGACTTGGGACAAGACTTTTGAGCATGGTTACGCTGGACCCGGACCCGGACCGGACCATACCCGAGACCGGACGTACGTCCGGACTTCCGGACATGATCCGGACATTCCGGACATAGCGGACACGGACGGTCCGGGAAAAAAAAAAAAAAAAACATCCCAGGGTGGGTGACATTGTGTACGCAGCTCTGCCCAGGGTGCTGTCATCGGGGTGACTTGTGTCATACCTTTCACAGCACGACCAACACCCTGCATCCCTCTCCGCCTTGTCCTTCTTGATGTCCACTTCGTCTCTGTCAGTGAGATCCTCCCTTCTCTAAGCCGCCGTCTTCCTCCCTCC